GCCCAACACCCTGTCAGTGTTCTTCAGACTGACAAAACCAGACATCATAGCTGCAGACAAGGTCCCAGTCGAATGGAAATCTCAAGAACAAAACTCTGCTACAGTGCCAAGACGTGACCAAGGACAAGAACAGCCTTCACAACCGCAACCAGCAACCAACAGCGACAAGGACAGCAACGAGATTGACCACAAGATTATCAATGTTGAGAGATACCACCAGCACCAGCATCGCCACATCGATGAAAGCAGACCAACCACCCCCCTTCCTTAAGCAACACCAAGCCCTCAAGACTGAGCTGTGCAATCCCTTCGGCACGGAAGGAAAAGACAGCGTAGGTAGGACTTCGCTAAGTGATGGTGTGTCTTGCGGCTCAGATTTTCTCGACCCTTTACTTTCAGGTTTAAGGGTTGAGGGTGGAGAGTGTAGGGACATGGCTTTCTGCGTCACCGAGGTAAGCAACTGGATGGCGAACGTCTTCCCCCCGGCTGCGACTCGTCCCGATCGGCCCTAGAGAGGTTACATATCGGTTGCGCTCTGTTGGAAATTGCTGGGTTTTCTGTTGGGTTTCTGTTAGATGTCGGTGCTGAGTGCTTGGAAGCATACAGTACGTAGGAGGTACTCAAGAACTAGTGTGTTTATTATGGCTTAATCATTTCGTACAGATTCCGATTCTTGCATGCCTGAAAATGGAGGAAAGCTTTCCGACCTCGCAGCTGCCCATGTGCGAGCGGGGCCCAATCTGCTGGCATGAGGAGGGGTTTAGGATTTGGAGCTAATATATCTGGGTCTCGGGTTATTTCATACTGGCTTATGCGAGGACTTATATTAAGGTAGTATTGGTCAAGCTCCTATGTCAGGGCGACGAGTGTCCATCGTTTAGTCGGTTTAATCTGTACGGGGTCTTGTCCTCGTTAAACCCTCCCCCCCTCACCAACACACAAATTTTCCACTGACACAGCTGGCTGTGGCCTCAAGGGGGCAAGTAAAGTGTAGCCTTAGCAGCCTTAGCATTTAGCAGTTCGAGGTTCGAGCTATTTGAAAGATTTGCAGTGTATGAAACTGAAGGTTGGAAGGTGGGTTCGGGATGTTGAATTCTTCCACGGTTGGCATTTAGGTCGGAGGGCTTGGGTGTCGCGGCCATGCCTTTCGAAGCTGCATAGCCTCCAAACACCTGTGTTGCAAAGATTCCAACGGTCTCCCCCCTTAAGTTCTAAAAACCCTGCGAAGCCTCCTCAGAAGAAGGTTAGTCCTCACGAAAATCCAGAGATCCCAAAGCCACAGAGGACGTGGAGCTCACCATGGCTCTGCCCAAGTCTCACCATCCACAGCTTCTCGGCTGCGTCGGTATAGCATCTCGGGATATCTCGAGGGTAACAGGCGATGCAACTTAGGGTCCGGAGGGTGCATTGATTTTGATTCGCTTCGGAAAGAAGGTGCTCAAAGCAATGCAGACCCGACGACAGCTTCCGACGAGATCGCATCCGAAGGTTCAGTTCCGGTTTGGGAAATGTAGGAGACATGGCTAGAACTCTGCTCGCACATGCGCTTTGGATGAGCACCAATCAGGTACGTTGCGATGGCGTACTTTCCACAAGAGGTTCACGAAGTGCCTCGACGTGATTTGGAAAGCCTTCTCGCGTAGACGTTCTTCCGTTTCATCTCTGCCATCGCATGCCAAGAGCAGATACTGCAGCTCGCCTACCAGACAATCAGCCAACACAGCTTTTGCGTACTCAAGAGTTGACCCAGCACCACGGTTTGTAACGAAGAGAACACGTCTCTAACCAGCCAAGGAAGCTGCCCTCCTCATCATCATTATCATCTTCTTCATCATCATCACATCGTCAGATCATCATATAATCATTCGTGACGATCACAATTGCCATTGTCATCATCGTCGCCGTCATCAGGGCTGCATCATCGGTTTCGCAAGCATGTGCGGCGAAAGATCTGGAACATGAAGCCTTGGAGAGGACTGGAGATGGGCCCTCACAAACCCGTAAACAAATAAAAATGCAGACTCTTGCAAGACTCAGAGCTTCTGCTTTGCGGGTTTGCTTGACCCACTCCAACAGGCCGTGCGCCTGATAGATGAGTAGTGCTCAGGACATGGGCTACACAGAGATGATCTCCGGATCACACCTTCTGAGCGTGCCACATGAGACGGCGGGTTACCAGGGCGAGCGGCTCACTCCAATTCAGACAATGTCGTTGGTCTGGAGGGTGTGTCGCCAGTTGAGGAAGACAGATATTGAAGTGCTGGCGACAGCTTCCGTAAAAATTCACGGCTAGAGGACCACAAGGTTGCAAGGTTTCGGCTTGAAGCGTGGCCACAAAATCGGCAGCATAGCGAGTAATTGTTAGTAGCACTTCTGTCTCTGAGGGGAGGTGTTGGGAAACGTCGCACCTCCTCTCGAGGACAAGGGACCTCCTCTGTTCGAAAGTGTCTGTGCCCGATGTGCGTCTGTGTGGTTGTTTGCTGCCTTCGTCTCTTTAGTTGCATATCCTTACACACGCACGGATTCACACGCAAGGTTTTACATGTCATGTGTGTGCTTGTGCTCGGTTACTTGCCTCTGCTTGCATGTGTGGCAAATGTAAGAATGATGCAGCATCAGCCGTAGAGTGCATCGACACAACACCTTCGAACGTCCCAGTGCGGCTAGCCTTCGTCATGCTCATGTTTTGATTCCCGAATAGTGCGCATGTCACGATGTGCGGAAGACGAGGTATCACTACCCTGAGAACGATTCAACCTGGCTTGCTGGATGGCCTCCTGGACACAACAATGTCCTGTTTTGGTCTTACTCAAGACTCAATACTGGCTGCAGCTAGTTGAACCTACATGCTCAACCTTTCCTGGACTGGGTGGTGGTAAAGTTGTCATTTGTGCGATGGTATTTGCCATTTCCAGCTACAGGCCCATAGAATCTGCCTAGCACACAACGGTCTTTCATAAATGGTCTTTCATAACGTAAGTCTTCAACTGCCACATGGGCATCTTATGATCTCGAGTCTTGTCACTGCTTAAGGCCCTTATTCTAAGCACTTAGCTAGGGAAATGGCCAATTCTGCATAGTCAGATTTTGCCATCACCCCCGACCCTGCAATACCTCAGGCCAACGACGAAGATCCTGGGAAAAGCCGGCTTGGTAGTCTTGAAACACCCACGAGCTCTGCATCGCTACTTGGTGTTGCAGAGTAAAGGGGGTTATTGGTAAAATTGGGGTGGGATGCGTATCAATTTGCTGAAACACGAGAACAGGTTTAATGCAGGGATGTTTCCGTGGAGAGTGTTTGGACCGTATGATGTGATGTTGATATGAGGTTGTGTCTCAGGTTGTCGCGAGGTTGGTTGACCCAGTTTTCGTGAGGCTGCCTCTTGTCTCTTGGTCTAAATCAATATCTTGAAACGCATCGCCATCTAAAAAACGCGCTGCGCCCGTAGGGCCGTGACGATTTGTCTTCGGATTTGGAAAGCCCTTGCTGGCGCCATACTGCGCGGTCGCACACTCTTTGGGTGTGGCGCGCTTTTACACGATCCGTGTTCCGATCTAACCACCTATGTTGAATTCCACGACATTGGCCTCATGCTGGCCTCGAAATCACAACCCTGTCGGCGATGCCGGCTTATCCACATCCTCCGGCAATGGCGATCAATTCTAACACTTTGGGCTTGCGTCGGAGTGAACATAATGAAGGAATTGATGCAAGGACGGATGGAAGGATGGATGGATGAATGGATGTGTGAGCGTGTGAGATGGGGGGTTCGCATACAGTTTCTTCGATGTTACAAAAACAAGAGACTCAGAGCAAACGGCACAAGGCGGATGCGTTTGATATACAGCCTCTGACGTTTCAGCACTGGTTCAAGACATGATTGAGGTTCTAGGGCACCCCGGTAAAAGTTCGGACCTGGATAGTGGAGCAGCAGCTCGCATGGAAAGTCGGGCCTCCCTGGGCAATCCGACCGAGAGATCGATGCAAGCGCGAGCTCATGGAATTGTATTGACGACAGCAGATCGACAATCACGGGTCTAGCTGGCATGCGGAGATGGAGACGCAGAACACACCGAAACCTCACGAAGTAGAGACACCGCTTCCGGCCTCTGGGGATGCTCTCGTCTGGGCTCTCTATCTCCAGATGATGTTCGGTATTACCTTGTTGCTAAGCGCTTTTGGGAGACTCGGTCTCCAGATGTTTGTCTTTGTTTGTTGTTGCTTGCTGCTTATTGAGGGTTGTGGCTGTGTTTGTACTTACTGTTGCTGCTGCTGCTGCTGCTGCTGCTGCTGCTGTCAAGATCACACTCAAGATAAAAACCAATGCTGTTGTCGTATTCGACTGGTTGTAGATTCTCAGTTGTGAAGCCGTCTGCAGGAAAGAGGTTCGGCAGCATTATGACTGAAAAACAGAGCAGTGTCCTTGTGGGACGATGCCCCATCGTCCTCCTGAGGTTTTGCCTCTCCATCACTGCATCGCTCTGATTGGCGCTGGGCCGTGAACATTGCTTCTGGATGTGATTTGGGCGAGCGTTGCGTTTTTCAGGTATAGGGTCTTTTTGTCAAGTCGACGCGAGGGTAACCGAACAGCATGCGATTCAGCCCTGCGTAGCCGGACATCAGGTTCACTTTAAGAGACAGATGAATGTGCATGGACTTTCCGTGCCATCGCAGCAGGAACCAACAAGGTGGTTTAGGGTTTCCGGTAAGGACGGATGAACGTCCTGTTGAAGTTCCAGAATTCGGGCAGATTCAGGCCAATGGCATCGATTTGAAACACACGTGCGAGCAACCCCGGTGTCGAGCTTCAAGTTTCAGGGCTTGCACTCCAGCTTGGGTCGCGGGGGCAGAATTCCAAAGTTCGTTTGTGGGACTTCTGGCGGCTTTCGTGTTAGATCAAGAATCAAATCGTTTGCACAGGCTTAAGCTTGCGCGACATCCCCAGATTCCCCCAACAGAGCGCTCCCAAGAGGCCGAGACCCAGAAATGGCCCACCAAGGACTTCGTTCGGCTGCGTCAGCCCCGCGTTTCGGTCGAACATCACAAGAGGCCCCCGGATATTTGGATCTGTTTGGGGCGTTGAAATTTTGAGCCATAAGCCTGCATGTCGTGAGCCCGGAATGAATCACGTTTGGTTCGGTCTCAAAGGCACAAACCTGAGATTTGGGGCCATCCAATAACCCTGCAGGCATTGAGGATTCGTTGCTTGTGCCTTGCTGGACAACCGACTCACACATCAAGCTTTCCTTGCGGGTTAACCGTAGGGGCTCGAATCTGCTTGAGTTTTCGCGGGGACCGTTTGAAGCTGCTGGCTGCTCCCTGTCTTTGATACTCTGACATTTGGAGTTTCAGGCGGATTTCGGCTTTGGGGCTTGGTTTGTGTTATCTGAGGTTGAAGCCTAAACATGCTTAACCTGTCAGCGCAAGATCCAGACCCCGTGCCCTAAATACTAAAGCCTGTAGCAGCAAGGCTCATGGAGGTGGTCACGTCTGGATGGCCCCCGCCAGTCCTGGAAAGTCTAGACGGTCTCAAGGAACAGCCGCCTGGCCGGAAGATGGAGCGTGACAAGATACAGATTCCTAGATCCAGGCACATCAGTGAATTGTGTATAGTTGGCGGGGTGTTTTATGAGTTTTATGCTTTAGTTCTGCCGGCGCGCTCTGTGCAAGCTCCAGGTCAGCAAAAGTGCGGGCGGCCTATGCCTTTGCGGCACGGGGGGAGGAGGATGACCTCATTGAGCGCCTTCGCACACAATTTCACCCTGAGGCAGTCAAGACAACATCCCGTCAGAAAAGCTGATATAATATAATATAATATAATATAATATAATATAATATAATATGTGTCCTCAGAAATTAAACGTAGATCTGCAAGCTACCAGAGCCCAGGCTCTTCCGCGCCCTGACCAGCTGCTCGGTCAGACTCAGCTGGAGTCGTCCTGGTAGTAGAGCTCTGGTATTAGTACATGACTTGAGCTACTTTGGCAGTGGGGAAGCTCCGACTTGAGCTACGCTGAAATTTCTAGCCCAGCTTGGCACAGCATGCGCCCAAAGATTCGACCAAAAGTCTTGTGCTCCCAATGTGGAGCTTCGGAGGCGGGTTTGCTGGGCCTGAGAATTTGTGTCCCAGCCTGGGAGCGAGGCCGTGATCCTCCGACTCGCGTGGCCGCCGCAGGCGGTTTGGCGGCAGCAACCGGGGCAGCAATCGGAGCTTGTAGGATTCAGCTTGCATTATTCTAGATGTGGCTCCGTTCCCAACTTACTGAATCAACAGCTTGAAATACATCTTATTCTACAGTATCTGAAGCTAACTCAAATACTTTGTCCACGTGAACATTGGCACTTTGAAGTCCAGGGTATTTATCGTTGTTGGATCCGTGGTTGACTGCTGCTGAACCGATTATGAAAGCATGCGATGACAGCAATGTGATCCTGAGCTCAGCTTCAGTCTTGAACAGGTGCTCTTTGTTGTCGCGATTGTGTTCCGGAGTTGACTGCTCAAGATCAGAGTGAGGGGCCGGTTTCTCAAAAAACACGTAGGCTTTGGAGCGTCAAAGCTCAAGGTGGTCGAGAAAAAAGCTTGAGTTGTCTTGAAACCTGAACAATGACAGAGGCCTTGGGCACCAACTGCAGCGAGTGCCGGCAGCTGGAAGATATGCTCATCCAGACCTTCGGACCCACAGCCGGTGTTTGTGTCTTTGGGTTCATGTGTTTGCTGGAGAGGCTTGCAACGTTTTGCAGACTATCGCTACTCGAAAAGCAGACGCCCTGGAGGCTTGACTGGTGGTCTGAAGTCCCTTCAGAAAATCCCATTACTGCCGAGTTAGGGGAGAGAAAAACGGGATGGAAGAAATAATAATAAGAGGAAGACCAAGAAGAAGCGCACGAGCTGAAGTGCTGATTCAGGGCAATGGATCTAACCGATACCGCCATGGGTCAGGATGACTGTCCCACCATTGCTGGTGGAAAAGGTGTTCAGGACTGAGATCTCAAGTGGTAGAAGTGGAGCAGGAGCATTCGAGTCCTGCCAGTACTCGCCGGCCGGCACACGTAACACCTTGTCCCCGAGCAGAAGACCGGTCCGGAGCTCTCAAGCCGCACACACAAACACACACAATCGCCGGCACCAGGGTGGGGGAACGGACCCTGGTGGGGCGTACTCGTATCGGGCTCAACTGCAAAGATGGCTTTGCCAAACCCATCGGAACAACTGGTTGTCGAGCCATTGTTACAGACTCACTGGTGGTCCTGGAAAAGTATTGGTTGAGCCAGAGCTCTTGGCAAGACCGGGCAAGACCTAGCCTGCGGGTCGTAGCCGTGGAAGACAACGTTGCAGATAACCTTGCTTCAGAGGAATTTGTCAGCCTCATATGTTTTCGACAGGATGTTCGCAAGGGTAGGCCTTGCTTGCACCGTGCCATTGCTGAAGGTTTTTCTTATTCTGTGGCGGTTAACTAACTTGGCCCACTCTGCGATGCGACTAACAGTGGAGGGCGATTCACATTAGGCGCTAGAGCTTGACCCACTTAGCCAGTCGGTCGTGGCATAGGACACAAACTACGCTACCGCCAGGAAAAACACCCCTGCCCTGGGTCAGCTCCGACTACATTTGCCGCTTGGCATCAATGTCTTGGCTTCAACAACAAATCCAAGTCCACCAGCGATTTGATTGCAACATTGCTGAAGATGGCATCCCGCCCACACCCTGATGCCGGCATGTTGGATTCCCGACTACTTTAAACCACAAGAAGATCGTCTGAATTGAAATTATCAGCTCAGGAACAGCAGCCTCCTTAGCAACAGCAACACAGAAAGACTTGGTATCCGGTGGAAATTGCGACAGCACTAGCCGTGGTTGCGGTCGTGGTGCTTCTTGTGCTCGTTGGTGCTGGTTGTGATGGTGCTGGTGCTGCTCGTGGTGCTGCCACCCGCGCCGAGCTGGTACTACTACTACTGCTACTGCTACTGCTACTACTACTACTACTGCTGCTGCTACTACTGCTACTATGACTGATCCTGCTACTACTCCTACTACTACTACTACTACTACTACTGCTACTACTACTCCTACTCTAAT